TCGATATAGGGGTAGGGGTAAGGAGTTTTTAACCCCGTCAATATGGTAGTGGAAGGGATTATTAACCCAGTCAGATTATAGTGGTAAGAGGAGTTATTAACCAGTCAGATATAGTGTAGTGGTAAGAGGAGTTATTAACCAGTCAGATATAGTGTAGTGGTAAGAGGAGTTATTAACCAGTCAGATATATGGTAGTGGTAAGAGGAGTTATTAACCAGTCAGTATATTGTAGTGGTAAGAGGAGTTATTAACCAGTCCAGATATAGTGTAGTGGTAAGAGGAGTTATTAACCAGTCAGATATAGTGTAGTGGTAAGAGGAGTTAGTTAACCAGTCAGATATAGTGTAGTGGTAAGAGGAGTTATTAACCAGTCAGATATAGTGTAGTGGTAAGAGGAGTTATTAACCAGTCAGATATAGTGTACTAGACTACTGACAGTGTTACCAGGGCCACGTTCATATAGACTACTGACAGTGTTACCAGGGCCACGTTCATATAGACTACTGACAGTGTTACCAGGGCCACGTTCATATAGACTACTGATAGTGTAGTGATGTTCCAAAACCTTGCGTCCTGCTGAACGTGTCCCAGGTTGTTAGCTATAGCTAGCTAATTAGGTAGCATTACTTAATAATGTGTCGCCTAAACAGATGGTTAGCGGTCCGGTCCACAAGTAGCCTATTTTAGAATGGCCCACGATTGTGCCCATCACGAAAAAGCTCTCACTCTCTCCAAAAACTCTTGTCCAGTCCACTTAGTCAGATTTTAGTCACAGAGAAAATCGTTTTAGTCAATTGAAATGAAAAATATTTTTTGTTTAGTTACAGTTTTGTCTGGGTCTATTCAGTCAGTTATAGTTAATTGCCACTGAAAAATAAGTGTTAAGATAAATATTTAAGTAGATGAAATTAACACTGGTCTGTTGTCTCTGGTTGGGGAGCATGGTGACTAATGATTGGCTGTGACCATAACTGCAAAGGGGGGGGGGGGGGGGGGGGGGGGGTGAGGGGGGGGGGGGGGGGGGGGGGGTGATTGGTTGAGCTCCCCCTGAGGAGGAATCTGATTGGCTGAGCCCCACTGCGAAGTAATATGATTGGTTGAGAGCCTCACCTCATTGTATCGGTTGCTGGGGATCTTGATGCAGGTCTTCTTCACCTCCATGTCCACCACCAGGCCCTTCACCATGGGCAACGTGTACTGGTAGTTACGGAAGTCCTGCAGGTACATTACATTATATTAGAAGGGCCCTTCACCATGGGCAACGTGTACTGGTAATTACGGAAGTCCTGCAGGTACATTACATTATATTAGAAGGGCCCTTCACCATGGGCAACGTGTCCTGGTAATTACGGAAGTCCTGCAGGTACATTACATTATATTAGAAGGGCCCTTCACCATGGGCAACGTGTCCTGGTAATTACGGAAGTCCTGCAGGTACATTACATTATATTAGAAGGGCCCTTCACCATGGGCAACGTGTCCTGGTAATTACGGAAGTCCTGCAGGTACATTACATTATATTAGAAGGGCCCTTCACCATGGGCAACGTGTCCTGGTAATTACGGAAGTCCTGCAGGTACATTACATTATATTAGAAGGGCCCTTCACCATGGGCAACGTGTCCTGGTAATTACGGAAGTCCTGCAGGTACATTACATTATATTAGAAGGGCCCTTCACCATGGGCAACGTGTCCTGGTAATTACGGAAGTCCTGCAGGTACATTACATTATATTAGAAGGGCCCTTCACACCATGGCAACGTGTCCTGGTAATTACGGAAGTCCTGCAGGTACATTACATTATATTAGAAGGGCCCTTCACCATGGGCAACGTGTCCTGGTAATTACGGAAGTCCTGCAGGTACATTACATTATATTAGAAGGGCCCTTCACCATGGGCAACGTGTCCTGGTAATTACGGAAGTCCTGCACGTCAACACAAGACATGGAAACATTCAGAGGCAAAAAGACAAGAAACAAAAGAAAAATATATAAAATCAGAAAGTAAACAAAAAATACTAAAATCATTCAAAGACTCAGAGGCAGAAAAGACCAGTTGTTACCGCTAGCAGGTTCATGATGGTGTGGCCGGTCTCTCCAAAGAGGGGTTTTCTGAACCTCACACTGAACAGAGGGCAAGGGTAGACTGAAACATATCAGATGAAAACATAACCCTGTGTTAAACACGTCCTCTGTAGCTCAGCTGGTAGAGTATTGCTAAACATAACCCTGTGTTAAACACGTCCTCTGTATCTCAGCTGGTAGAGTATTGCTAAACATAACCCTGTGTTAAACACGTCCTCTGTATCTCAGCTGGTAGAGTATTGCTAAACATAACCCTGTGTTAAACACGTCCTCTGTATCTCAGCTGGTAGAGTATTGCTAAACATAACCCTGTGTTAAACACGTCCTCTGTAGCTCAGCTGGTAGAGTATTGCTAAACATAACCCTGTGTTAAACACGTCCTCTGTAGCTCAGCTGGTAGAGTATTGCTAAACATAACCCTGTGTTAAACACGTCCTCTGTAGCTCAGCTGGTAGAGTATTGCTAAACATAACCCTGTGTTAAAACACGTCCTCTGTAGCTCAGCTGGTAGAGTATTGCTAAACATAACCCTGTGTTAAACACGTCCTCTGTAGCTCAGCTGGTAGAGTATTGCTAAACATAACCCTGTGTTAAACACGTCCTCTGTAGCTCAGCTGGTAGAGTATTGCTAAACATAACCCTGTGTTAAACACGTCCTCTGTAGCTCAGCTGGTAGAGTATTGCCTCTGTAGCTCAGCTGGTAGAGTATTGCTAAACATAACCCTGTGTTAAACACGTCCTCTGTAGCTCAGCTGGTAGAGTATTGCTAAACATAACCCTGTGTTAAACACGTCCTCTGTAGCTCAGCTGGTAGAGTATTGCTAAACATAACCCTGTGTTAAACACGTCCTCTGTAGCTCAGCTGGTAGAGTATTGCTAAACATCACCCTGTGTTAAACACGTCCTCTGTAGCTCAGCTGGTAGAGTATTGCTAAACATAACCCTGTGTTAAACACGTCCTCTGTAGCTCAGCTGGTAGAGTATTGCTAAACATAACCCTGTGTTAAACACGTCCTCTGTAGCTCAGCTGGTAGAGTATTGCTAAACATAACCCTGTGTTAAACACGTCCTCTGTATCTCAGCTGGTAGAGTATTGCTAAACATAACCCTGTGTTAAACACGTCCTCTGTAACGCCAGGGTAGTGGGTTCGATCCCCGGGACCACCCATACGTAAAAATGTATGCACACATGACTAAGTCGCTTTGGATAAAAGCGTCTGCTAAATGGTATATTATTATTATTATTATTAAAACCACTGATTGATGTAATTACAATTTCTGTTCTAACAAGCCAAAAACATAACCCAAAACAACAACGCGATCCCTTCGTACTCACATCTGTACTCGGCGCCCAGTCGCAGCATGAGCCTGATGGGGAACGCCTTGGCCCAGGGGGTCTCCCACTTCTGCAGCAACACCCCAAACAGGTAGGGGGGGTTGGGGAGCATCAGGTCCTGGAGGGCCTGGAAGGACGGGGAGACGTAGAGGAACCCTCCATGCTCCCTGCTGCCCAGGAAACTCTGGGTGAAGAACGAGTGGCCCAGGTGGGTCAGGACCTTACCTGGAGAGAGGAGGAGAGAAGAATGTTACCTGGAGGGAGGAGGAGAGGAAGAGGAGAGGTGATGAGGAGAGAAGAGGAGGAGAGAGGAAGAGGAGGGGAGAGGAAGAGGAGGGGAGAGGGGAACGAGTGGCCCAGGTGTGTCAGAACGTTACCTAGAGAGGGGAGGGGAGAGAAGTGTTTGAATTTTAAAACACCTTTTATTTAGCAATTAAGGAGTGAACTGAGTGTTGCATGCCTAGTCCCCTCCCTAAGATGTTCACTGTAAATTATTGTCACCCGTTTTCAATACCTCACCCCAAAAGAATAACTGCACTGAGCCTTTTTCTAAAATGTTTTATGAGCTGGGAGAACACATTGGGAGGGATCTTTGACCATTCCTCCATGCAGAATCTTTCCAGATGCTTGATATCCTTCGTCTGCGCTTATGGACTGCCCTCTTAATTCAAACCACAGGTTTTCAATGGGTTTCAAGTCCGGAGACTGAGGTGGCCATTGCAAAATGTTGATTTTGTGGTCAATTAACAATTTCTTTGTGGATTTTGACGTGTGCTTGGGACTATCGTCTTGCTGGAAGAGTCACTTGCAGCCAAGTTTCAGCCTGCTGGCAGAGGCGACGAGGTTTTTGGTTATAAAGTCCCGGTACTGGGTAAAGCTCATGTTGCCGTTGACCTTAACAAGGCCCCAGGACCAGTAGGAGAAAAACAGTCCATAACATCAAAGATCCACCGTCATATTTTACAGAAGGGATGGGGTTCTTTTCCGAATATGCATCTTTCTTTAGACGCCAAACCCACCACTGGTGTGCATGGCCCAAAAAGCTCTGTTTTCAGGTCATCTGACCAAAGCACCGGTTCCAATCCAAGTGCGAAAGAGCTCTGTTTTCAGGTCATCCAACAAATTAAAAAACACCTGGAGTTCCCTAAACGGTATTGGCACTTGGATTGGAACCAGTGCTATGGTCCCAGTGCTATGGTCCCAGTGCTATGGTCCCAGTGCTATGGTCCCAGTGCTATGGTCCCAGTGCTATGGTCAGATGACACTTCAGGCTGAGGAGGAAGTTTCACACATTCCCATGTGCTACATTAGCTAACGTTAGCTAGCTAGCTCATAATCAAGTAAACCTGACGACATGTTTGATGCATGTTACCAGCTTGCTTTCAATAACGTTTCAACTCCAACTGACTAGCTACTGTAAGATCCCTGCTAAATAATATTAGGCAAACTAGCTAGATAGATCTCCGGGAAGAGGGCTGGAGTTAAAACCTACAGGATGGTATTTTTCCAGGAATAAGGCAAAAGTTAAAAACTACAGTGCCTTCAGAAAGTATTTCACACCCCTTGACCGTTTCCCCATTTTGTTGTTACAGCCTAAATTTAAAATGTGATTAAATTTAGATTTTGTCGTCACTGGCCTACACACAATACCCCACAATGTCAAAGTGAAATGATGTTTGACATTTTTTACAAATTAAAAGCTGAAATGTTTTGAGTCAATTAGTATTCAACCCCTTTGTTATGGCAAGCCTAAATAAGTTCAGGAGTAAAAATGCGCTTAACAAGTGACACAATAAGATGCATGGACTCACTCTGTGTGCAATAATAGTGTTTAACATGATTTTTGAATGACTACCTCATCTCTGTACCCTACACATACAATTATCTGTAAGGTCCCTCAGTCGAGCAGTGAATTTCAAACACAGATTCAATCACAAAGAGCAGGGAGGTTTTCCAATGCCTCGCAAAGAAGGGCACCTATTGGTAGATGGGTAAAAATAAAAAGGCAGACATTGAATATCCCTTTGAGCATGGTGAAGTTATTAATTACACGTTGGATGGTGGATCAATACACCCAGTCACTACAAAGATACAGGCGTCCTTCCTAACTCAGTTGCCGGAATGGAAGGAAACCGCTCAGGGATTTCACCATGAGGCCAATGGTGACTTTAAAACAGTTAAAGAGATTAATGTCTGTGATAGGAGAAAACTGAGGATGGATCAACAACACTGTAGTTACTCCACAATACTAACCTAAATGACAGAGTGAAAAGAAGGAAGCCTGTACAGAATAAAAATATTCCAAAACATGCATCCTGTTTGCAACAAAACTAAAGTAAAACTGCAAAAAAAATGTGTCAAAGCAATTAACTTTTTGTCCTGAATACAAAGCTTTATGTTTGAGGAAAATCCAATCCAATACATTACCGAGTACCACTCTCCATATTTTCAAGCATAGTTGTGGCTGCATCATGTTATGGGTATGCTTGTAATTGTTAAGGACTGGAGATTTTTTTGGGATAAAAAATAAACGGAATGGAGCTACGCACAGGCAAAATCCTAGAAGAAAATACCTGGTTCAGTCTGCTTTCCAACAGACACTGGGATATTAATTCACCTTTCAGCAGGACAATATCCTAAAACACAAGGCCAAATATACAATGGAGTGACCCGAGTTACAGTTTTGACTTAAATCTGCTTGAAAATCTATGGCAAGACCTGAACATGGCTGTCTAGGAATGATCAACAACCAATTTGACAGAGCTTGCAGAAATTTGAAAATAATAAATGGGCAAATGTTGCAGAATCCAGGTGCGGAAAACTCTTAGAGACTTACCCAGAAAGACTCACAGCTGTAATCGCTGCCAAAGGTGATTCTTCAAAGTATTGACTCAGGGGTGTGAATACTTAAGACATTTCTGTATTTAATTTTCAATAAATGTTTTCCCTTGTTTTCAATGTGTCATTATGGGGCATTGTGTGTAGATGGGTGAGAAACACATCTATTTAATCCATTTTGAATTCAGGCTGGAACAAAACAGAATGTAGAATAAGTCAAGGGGTATGAATAGTTTCTGAAGGCACTGTACAGGATGGTATCTATCCAGGAACAGGGTTGGAGTTAAAACCTACAAGATGGTGTATCTCTCTAGGAAGAAGGTTGGGCAGGCCCGATTTAGATAATACACAACACTAGAACTGCTAAGGATGACGATGTAGCATTTTGCTCCATCACCGTACTGACTGACTGACTAAACCAGCAGAGACACAGACAATATGTCTGTCATTCCCCAGCCTGTTGAGTTTCCCTGGTGTTGCAGAGACACAGACAATATGTCTGTCATTCCCCAGCCTGTTGAGTTTCCCTGGTGTTGCAGAGACACAGACAATATGTCTGTCATTCCCCAGCCTGTTGAGTTTCCCTGGTGTTGCTGTGAATATCTAAACCAGCCACAGCCTGAGGCACAGACACATCAACGTCAAACAATATATTTTTTTAACCGCAGCGTAAGGTGGAGTGGTGAGACAGAGGTCGTGGAGTGGTGAGACAGAGGTCGTGGAGTGGTGAGACAGAGGTCGTGGAGTGGTGAGACAGAGGTCGTGGAGTGGTGAGACAGAGGTTGTGTGGTGAGACAGAGGTCGTGGAGTGGTGAGACAGAGGTCGTGGAGTGGTGAGACAGAGGTCGTGGAGTGGTGAGACAGAGGTCGTGGAGTGGTGAGACAGAGGTCGTGGAGTGGTGAGACAGAGGTCGTGGAGTGGTGAGACAGAGGTCGTGGAGTGGTGAGACAGAGGTCGTGTCCAAAATGGCACCCTATTCCCTACGTAGTGCACTTGTTTTGTCCACGTCCCAAAGGGGCTCTGGTCAAAAGTAGTGCACTATATAGGGAATAGGGTGCCATTTTGGACGCATACAGAGAACCGTAGTGGGACACTACAGCCTTACAACAGGACACTAAATGTTTTGACTGTATTTCCTGACGAGGTCGAGCCACACCATTCAGTGGCTTAGAGGCAGTAGCCTTGTTTCCAGGCAGTAGCCTTGTTTCCAGGCAGTAGCCTTGTTTCTGTGAAGGTAACCTGGCTGGGATTGATCAACTCACCTCTAGACCTCTAACACCTACATTTCCCCATGAGTGCCTCCTGGCAATGCTGTATAATATCATCTAAGTAGGCTTCCTGGTTGAGGTAGCATACTGATCTTATTATCCCTGTGAGGGCCTCCTGATGGAGGTATATTATACTAACCTGTGAGGGCCTCCTGATGGAGGTATATTTTACTAACCTGTGAAGGCCTCCTGGTGGAGGTATATTATACTAACCTGTGAAGGCCTCCTGGTGGAGGTATATTATACTAACCTGTGAAGGCCTCCTGGTGGAGGTATATTATACTAACCTGTGAAGGCCTACTGGTGGAGGTATATTATACTAACCTGTGAGGGCCTCCTGATGGAGGTATATTATACTAACCTGTGAGGGCCTCCTGATGGAGGTATATTATACTAACCTGTGAGGGCCTCCTGATGGAGGTATATTATACTAACCTGTGAGGGCCTCCTGGTAGAGCTGTACGAAGTGGCTGAAGAGGTCTTTGGGGATGCTCTTCTCGTCAGGCAGACACTGCAGCAGCACAACCACCTCAGCCTGGCCCACTGCATGCATCCCCTTACTGGTCACATACCAACACTTCCTGTTTACGTCTACAAGGGGAGAAGGGACACCAGAGTGGGGGTTAGATTCTGTAGCGTAGGGGGAGAGGGGGTTAGATACTGTAGCGTAGGGGCAGAGGGGGTTAGATACTGTAGCGTAGGGGGAGAGGAGAGGGGGTTAGATACTGTAGCGTAGGGGCAGAGGGGGGTTAGATACTGTAGCGTAGGGGGAGAGGGGGTTAGATACTGTAGCGTAGGGGGAGAGGAGAGGGGGTTAGATACTGTGTAGCGTAGGGGCAGAGGGGGTTAGATACTGTAGCGTAGGGGGAGAGGAGAGGGGGTTAGATACTGTAGCGTAGGGGGAGAGGAGAGGGGGTTAGATACTGTGTAGCGTAGGGGCAGAGGGGGTTAGATACTGTAGCGTAGGGGGAGAGGAGAGGGGGGTTAGATACTGTAGCGTAGGGACAGAGGGGGTTAGATACTGTAGCGTAGGGGCAGAGGGGGTTAGATACTGTAGCGTAGGGGGAGAGGAGAGGGGGTTAGATACTGTAGCGTAGGGGCAGAGGGGGTTAGATACTGTAGCGTAGGGGGAGAGGGGGTTAGATACTGTAGCGTAGGGGGAGAGGAGAGGGGATTAGATACTGTAGCGTAGGGGGAGAGGGGGTTAGATACTGTAGCGTAGGGGGAGAGGGGGTTAGATACTGTAGCGTAGGGGCAGAGGGGGTTAGATACTGTAGCGTAGGGGGGAGAGGGGGTTAGATACTGTAGCGTAGGGGGAGAGGGGGTTAGATACTGTAGCGTAGGGGGAGAGGAGAGGGGATTAGATACTGTAGCGTAGGGGGAGAGGGGGTTAGATACTGTAGCGTAGGGGGGAGAGGGGGTTAGATACTGTAGCGTAGGGGCAGAGGGGGTTAGATACTGTAGCGTAGGGGGAGAGGGGGTTAGATACTGTAGCGTAGGGGGAGAGGGGGTTAGATACTGTAGCGTAGGGGGAGAGGGGGTTAGATACTGTAGCGTAGGGGGAGAGGGGGTTAGATACTGTAGCGTAGGGGGAGAGGGGGTTAGATACTGTAGCGTAGGGGGAGAGGGGGTTAGATACTGTAGCGTAGGGGGAGAGGGGGTTAGATACTGTAGCGTAGGGGGAGAGGGGGTTAGATACTGTAGCGTAGGGGGAGGGGAGAGGGGGTTAGATACGTAGGTAGGGGGAGAGGGGGTTAGATTACTGTAGCGTGAGGGGGGGCGGGGGTTAGATACTGGGTAGGGGGAGAGGGGTGGTTTTAGGATACTGTAGCGTAGGGGGAGAGGAGAGGGGGTTTTAGGTACTGTAGCGTAGGGGGAGAGAGGGGGTTAGATACTGTAGCGTAGGGGGAGAGGGAGGTTAGATACTGTAGCGTAGGGGGAGAGGGGGTTAGATACTGTAGCGTAGGGGGAGAGGGGGTTAGATACTGTAGCGTAGGGGGAGAGGGGGTTAGATACTGTACCGCAGGGGGAGAGGAGAGGGGTGTTAGATGCTGTAGCGTAGGGGGAGAGGGGGTTAGATACTGTAGCGTAGGGGGGAGAGGAGAGGGGGTTAGATACTGTAGCGCAGGGGGAGGAGCGGGGGTTAGATACTGTAGCGTAGGGGGAGAGGGGGTTAGATACTGTAGCGTAGGGGGAGAGGGGGGGTTAGGTACTGTAGCGTAGGGGGAGGAGGGGGTTAGATACTGTAGCATAGGGGGAGAGGGGGTTTAGATACTGTGTAGCGTAGGGGGAGAGGGGGTTAGATACTGTAGCGTAGGGGGAGAGGGGGTTAGATACTGTAGCGTTAGGGGGAGAGGGGGTTAGATACTGTAGCGTAGGGGGAGAGCAGGTTAGATACTGTAGCGTAGGGGGAGAGGGGGTTAGATACTGTAGCGTAGGGGGAGAGGGGGTTAGATACTGTAGCGTAGGGGGAGAGGGGGTTTAGATACTGTAGCGTAGGGGGGAGGAGGGGGTTAGATACTGTAGCGTAGGGGCAGAGGGGGTTAGATACTGTAGCGTAGGGGGGAGAGGGGGTTAGATTACTGTAGCGTAGGGGGAGAGGGGGTTAGGTACTGTAGCGTAGGGGGAGAGGGGGTTAGGTACTGTAGGGTAGGGGGAGAGGGGGTTAGATACTGTAGGGTAGGGGGAGAGGGGGTTAGATACTGTAGCGTAGGGGGAGAGGGGGTTAGGTACTGTAGGTAGGGGGAGGAGGGGGGTTAGGTACTGTAGCGTAGGGGGAGAGGGGGGTTAGGTACTGTAGCGTAGGGGGAGAGGGGGTTAGATACTGTAGCGTAGGGGGAGAGGGGGGTTAGGTACTGTAGCGTAGGGGGAGAGGAGAGGGGGTTAGGTACTGTAGCTTAGGGGGAGAGGGGGTTGTTAGGTACTGTAGCGTAGGGGGGAGAGGGGGTTAGATACTGTAGCGTAGGGGGAGAGGGGGTTAGATACTGTAGCGTAGGGGGAGAGGGGGGTTAGATACTGTAGCGCAGGGGGAGAGGAGAGGGGGGTAGATGCTGTAGCGTAGGGGGAGAGGGGGTTAGATACTGTAGCGTAGGGGGAGAGGGGGTTAGATACTGTAGCGTAGGGGGAGAGGGGGTTAGATACTGTGTAGCGTAGGGGGAGAGGAGAGGGGGTTAGATTACTGTAGCGTAGGGGGAGAGGGGGTTAGATACTGTTAGCGTAGGGGGAGAGGGGGGGTTAGATACTGTAGCGTAGGGGGGAGAGGGGGTTAGGTACTGTAGCGTAGGGGGAGAGGGGGGTTAGATACTGTAGCGTAGGGGGAGAGGAGAGGGGTGGTTAGATACTGTAGCGTAGGGGGAGAGGGGGTTAGATAATGTAGCGTAGGGGAGAGGGGGTTAGATACTGTAGCGCAGGGGGAGAGGAGAGGGGGTTAGATACTGTAGCGTAGGGGGAGAGGGGGTTAGATTTAGATACTGTGTAGCGTAGGGGGTTAGATACTGTAGCGTAGGGGGAGAGGGGGTTAGATACTGTGTAGCGTAGGGGGAGAGGGGGTTAGATACTGTAGCGTAGGGGGAGAGGGGGTTAGATACTGTAGCGTAGGGGGAGAGGGGGTTAGATACTGTAGCGTAGGGGGAGAGGGGGTTAGATACTGTAGCGTAGGGGGAGAGGGGGTTAGATACTGTAGAGTAGGGGGGAGAGGGGGGTTAGATACTGTGTTAGCGTAGGGGGAGAGGGGGGTTAGATTAGATACTGTGTAGCGTAGGGGGTTAGATACTGTAGCGTAGGGGGAGAGGGGGTTAGATACTGTAGCGTAGGGGGAGAGGGGGTTTAGATACTGTAGCGTAGGGGGAGAGGGGGGTTAGATACTGTAGCGTAGGGGGAGAGGGGGTTAGATACTGTAGCGTAGGGGGAGAGGGGGTTAGGTACTGTAGCGTAGGGGGAGAGGGGGTTAGATACTGTAGCGTAGGGGGAGAGGGGGTTAGATTTAGATACTGTGTAGCGTAGGGGGTTAGATACTGTAGCGTAGGGGGAGAGGGGGTTAGATACTGTGTAGCGTAGGGGGAGAGGGGGGTTAGATACTGTAGCGTAGGGGGGGAGAGGGGGTTAGATACTGTAGCGTAGGGGCAGAGGGGGTTAGATACTGTAGCGTAGGGGAGAGAGGGGGTTAGATACTGTAGCGTAGGGGGAGGGGGGGGTTAGATAATGTAGCGTAGGGGCAGAGGGGGTTAGATACTGTGTAGCGTAGGGGGAGGGGAGAGGGGGTTAGATACTGTAGCGTAGGGGGAGAGGGGGTGAGATTTAGATACTGTAGCGTAGGGGGAGAGGAGAGGGGGTTAGATAATGTAGCGCAGGGGGGAGAGGAGAGGGGGTTAGATTACTGTAGCGTAGGGGGAGAGGAGAGGGGGTTAGATACTGTAGCGTAGGGGCAGAGGGGGTTAGATACTGTAGCGTAGGGGGAGAGGGGGTTAGATACTGTAGCGTAGGGGGGAGAGGGGGTTAGATACTGTAGCGTAGGGGGGGTGAGATGGGGGTGAGATTTAGATACTGTAGCGTAGGGGGAGAGGAGAGGGGGGTTAGATAATGTAGCGCAGGGGGGAGAGGAGAGGGGTTAGATACTGTAGCGTAGGGGGAGAGGAGAGGGGGTTAGATACTGTAGCGTAGGGGGGAGAGGGGGTTAGATACTGTGTAGCGTAGGGGGGAGAGGGGGTTAGATACTGTAGCGTAGGGGGAGAGGAGAGGGGGTTAGATACTGTAGCGTAGGGGGAGAGGGGGTTAGATACTGTAGCGTAGGGGGAGAGGATAGGGGGTTAGATACTGTAGCGTAGGGGGAGAGGGGGTTAGATACTGTAGCGTAGGGGGAGAGGGGGTTAGGTTACTGTAGCGTTAGGGGGGAGAGGAGAGGGGGTAGATACTGTAGCGCAGGGGGAGAGGAGAGGGGGTTTAGATAATGTAGCGTAGGGGGAGAGGATAGGGGGTTAGATACTGTAGCGTAGGGGCAGAGGGGGTTAGATACTGTAGCGTAGGGGGAGAGGGGGGTTAGATACTGTGTAGCGTAGGGGGAGAGGGGGTTAGATACTGTGTAGCGTAGGGGGAGAGGGGGTTAGATACTGTAGCGTAGGGGGGAGAGGAGAGGGGGTTAGATACTGTAGTGTAGGGGGAGGGGAGAGGGGGTTAGATACTGTAGCGTAGGGGGAGAGGGGGTTAGATACTGTAGCGTAGGGGGAGAGGATAGGGGGTTAGATACTGTAGCGTAGGGGGAGAGGGGTTGGTAGATACTGTAGCGTAGGGGGCAGAGGGGGTTAGATACTGTAGCGTAGGGGGAGAGGGGGTTAGATACTGTGTAGCGTAGGGGGAGAGGGGGTTAGATACTGTAGCGTAGGGGGAGAGGAGAGGGGGTTAGATACTGTAGCGTAGGGGGAGAGGGGGTTAGATACTGTGTAGCGTAAGGGGAGAGGGGGTTAGATACTGTAGCGTAGGGGGAGAGGAGAGGGGGTTAGATACTGTAGCGTAGCGGGAGAGGAGAGGGGGTTAGATTACTGTAGCGTAGGGGGAGAGGAGAGGGGGGGTTAGATACTGTGTAGCGTAGGGCAGAGGGGGTTAGATACTGTAGCGTAGGGGGGAGAGGAGAGGGGGGGTTAGATACTGTAGCGTAGGGGGGAGGAGAGGGGGTTAGATACTGTGTAGCGTAGGGGCAGAGGGGGTTAGATACGGTAGCGTAGGGGGAGAGGAGAGGGGGTTAGATTACTGTAGCGTAGGGGGAGAGGAGAGGGGATAGATACTGTAGCGTAGGGGGAGAGGGGGTTAGATACTGTAGCGTAGGGGGCAGAGGGGGTTAGATACTGTAGCGTAGGGGGAGAGGAGAGGGGGGTTAGGATTTTAGATACTGTAGCGTGGGGCAGAGGGGGTAGATACTGTAGCGTAGGGGGAGAGGGGGTTAGATTACTGTAGCGTAGGGGGAGAGGAGAGGGGATTAGATACTGTAGCGTAGGGGGAGAGGGGGTTAGATACTGTAGCGTAGGGGGAGAGGGGGTTAGATACTGTAGCGTAGGGGCAGAGGGGGTTAGATACTGTAGCGTGGGGGGAGAGGGGTTAGATACTGTAGCGTAGGGGGGAGAGGGGGTTAGATACTGTAGCGTAGGGGGAGAGGGAGAGGGATTAGATACTGTAGCGTAGGGGGAGAGGGGGTTAGATACTGTAGCGTAGGGGGAGAGGGGGGTTAGATACTGTAGGTAGGGGCAGAGGGGGTTAGATACTGTAGCGTAGGGGCAGAGGGGGTTAGATACTGTAGCGTAGGGGGAGAGGGGGTTAGATACTGTAGCGTAGGGGGAGAGGAGAGGGGGTTAGATACTGTAGCGTAGGGGGAGAGGAGAGGGGGGGTTAGATACTGTAGCGCAGGGGGAGAGGAGAGGGGGTTAGATAATGTAGCGTAGGGGGAGAGGATAGGGGGTTAGATACTGTAGCGTAGGGGCAGAGGGGGTTAGATACTGTAGCGTAGGGGGGGAGAGGGGGTTAGATACTGTGTAGCGTAGGGGGAGAGGGGGTTAGATACTGTAGCGTAGGGGGAGAGGAGAAGGGGTTAGATACTGTAGTGTAGGGGGAGGGGAGAGGGGGGTTAGATACTGTAGGTAGGGGGAGAGGGGGTTAGATACTGTAGCGTAGGGGGAGAGGATAGGGGGTTAGATACTGTAGCGTAGGGGGAGAGGGGGGTTAGATACTGTAGCGTAGGGGCAGAGGGGGTTAGATACTGTAGCGTAGGGGGAGAGGGGGTTAGATACTGTCTAGCGTAGGGGGAGAGGGGGTTAGATACTGTAGCGTAGGGGGAGAGGAGAGGGGGTTAGATACTGTAGCGTAGGGGGAGAGGGGTTAGATACTGTGTAGCGTAAGGGGAGAGGGGGTTAGATACTGTAGCGTAGGGGGAGAGGAGAGGGGGTTAGATACTGTAGCGTAGGGGGAGAGGAGAGGGGGTTAGATACTGTAGCGTAGGGGGAGAGGGGGTTAGATACTGTAGCGTAGGGGGAGAGGAGAGGGGGTTAGATACTGTGTAGCGTAGGGGCAGAGGGGGTTAGATACTGTAGCGTAGGGGCAGAGGGGGTTAGATACTGTAGCGTAGGGGCAGAGGGGGTTAGATACTGTAGCGTAGGGGGAGAGGGGGGTTAGATACTGTAGCGTAGGGGGAGAGGGGGTTAGATACTGTAGCGTAAGGGGAGAGGGGGTTAGATACTGTAGCGTAGGGGGAGAGGAGAGGGGATTAGATACTGTAGCGTAGGGGCAGAGGGGGTTAGATACTGTAGCGTAGGGGCAGAGGGGGTTAGATACTGTAGCGTAGGGGGAGAGGGGGTTAGATAATGTATAGTGTATAGCAGGGCTATTCAATAACAGTCCTGGAGGGCTAAACACTCAGGTTTATTTTCTCCTTCTAATCAGGGACTAATTCAGACCTATGAGAGTGGAGAAGATGTGAACTCACAGTTGACCAGTTTGACCATGGCCAGCAGGTTGGCATTGAGCACAAAGACCAGCGGGTCAGGACCTCCTTCCTCCAGCTGCTGCATCAGAACGATCTCAGAGGGACGCTCCTCCACCGCGTAGTCTGGGGGGGGGGTGGGAGGAAAACACAGCTTCAACCCCACCCTATGGACAGGTACCCCCAGCCCCACACCCCTCCCAGCTTGCTACATGGACAGTGGACAAGAAAGCAGACCCACACACACACACACAGCATGATGGACAGTGAGGTGAGGATGGGTGAGGTCAAGCACCTGTGCTGTGTCCTCCCGTACCTCCTTTAACTCCGGTGGAGGTGAGGATGGGAGGAAGGCCGTCCTCCGGAATTAGACTGACCGAGCTGCCGACAGGGCTTCCCACTGGGGCTGCAGGGGCAGGGGACGACGCCTGGAGGGAGGAGGGTTAGAGTGGTAGTGGACAGATCTCTGCTGTGAATGGTTGTAAAAACTGTGATAGAAAGTACTTTGGAAAATTAAAACATTCTAGAACACTGCAGTTAAATGATCATTACCGTCACGGGCAGATTCCCCTTCACATTCAGTAAATAATGTGTGGCAGGGGGCCTTGCCCTTAAGAGCGTTGGGCCAGTAACCGAAAGGTCCCTGGTTCGAATCCCTGAGCCGACTATGTGAGAAATCTGTCGATGTGCCCTTGAGCAAGGCACTTAACCCTAATTGTTCCAGTAAGTCACACTGGATAAGAGCGTCTGCTAAATGACTAAAATTTTAAAATTGTGTGTGTGTGTCAGAGCTGGGTTGAAATGCAATGGATTTTTCAAATCAAAATAGCCGAATACAACAGGTGTAGACCTTACTGTGAAATGCTTACTTACAAGCCCTTAACCAACAGAAAAATCTGCTAAATAAACTGAAGGAAAAATAGTAACAAAAATAACAATGAGGCCATGTGGCAAGGGGGGTAACCGGTAACCTGAGGTCCAATGTTGCAAGGGGGTACCGGTAACGATCCATGGCAGGGGGTACCAAGTTACCCGAGTCCATGTGCAGGGGTACCGGTAACCCACGAGGTCCATGTGCAGGGGGTACCCGGTACCAGAGTCCATGTGCGGGGGTACCGGTACCAAGAGCTGATTCCATGTAAGGGGTTACGGTACCGAGCCATGTCAGGGGTACCGGTACCGATTCCCATGTACGGTGGTACCGGTACCGATACAGGGGAACGGTACCGAGGAAAGGGTGAGGGCCGGTACCCGAGTCGGCATGGGTCAGGGGGGTACGGTACGGTAACGAGTCGGTACCAGGGGGTACCGGTACCGAGTCCATGTGCAGGGGGTACCGGTACCGAGTCCATGTGCAGGGGGTAGCGGTACCGAGTCCATGTACAGGGGATACAGGGGTTAGTCGAGGTAATATGTACAGTGGGGAGAACAAGTATTTGATTACACTGCCGATTTTGCAGGTTTTTCCTACTTACAAAGCATGTAGAGGTCTGTAATTTTTATCATAGGTACACTTCAACTGTGAGAGACAGAATCTAAAACATCCAGAAAAAAAATTCCAGAAAATCACATTGTATGATTTTTAAGTAATTAATTTGCATTTTATTGCATGACATAAGCATTTGATCACCTACCAACCAGTAAGAATTCCGGCTCTCACAGACCTGTTAGTTTTTCTTTAAGAAGCCCTCCTGTTCTCCACTCATTACCTGTATTAACTGCACCTGTTTGAACTCGTTACATAAAAGACACCTGTCCACACACTCAATTAAACAGACTCCAACCTCTCCACAATGGCCAAGACCAGAGAGCTGTGTAAGGACATCAGGGATACAATTGTAGACCTGCACAAGGCTGGGATGGGCTACAGGACAATAGGCAAGCAGCTTGGTGAGAAGGCAACAACTGTTGGCGCAATTATTAGAAAATGGAAGAAGTTCAAGATGACAGTCAATCATCCTCGGTCTGGGGTTCCATGCAAGATCTCACCTCGTGGGGCATCAATGATCATGAGGAAGGTGAGGGATCAGCCCAGAACTACACGGCAGGACCTGGTCAATGACCTGAAGAGAGCTGGGACCACAGTCTAAAAAAAAAACCCATTAGTAACACACTACGCCGTCATGGATTAAAATCCTGCAGCGCACGCAAGGTCCCCCTGCTCAAGCCAGCGCATGTCCAGGCCCGTCTGAAGTTTGCCAATGACCATCTGGATGATCCAGAGGAGGAATGGGAGAAGGTCATGTGGTCTGATGAGACAACAATAGAGCTTTTTGGTCTAAACTCCACTCGCCGTGTTTGGAGGAAGAAGAAGGATGAGTACAACCCCAAGAACACCATCCCAACCGTGAAGCATGGAGGTGGAAACATCATTCTTTGGGGATGCTTTTCTGCAAAGGGGACAGGACGACTGCACCGTATTGAGGGGAGGATGGATGGGGCCATGTATCGCGAGATCTTGGCCAACAACCTCCTTCCCTCAGTGAGAGCATTGAAGATGGGTCGTGGCTGGGTCTTCCAGCATGACAACGACCCGAAACACACAGCCAGGGCAACTAAGGAGTGGCTCCGTAAGAAGCATCTCAAGGTCCTGGAGTGGCCTAGCCAGACTCCAGACCTGAACCCAATAGAAAATCTTTGGAGGGAGCTGAAAGTCCGTATTGCCCAGCAACAGCCCCGAAACCTGAAGGATCTGGAGAAGGTCTGTATGGAGGAGTGGGCCAAAATCCCTGCTGCAGTGTGTGCAAACCTGGTCAAGACCTACAGGAAACGTATGATCTCTGTAATTGCAAACAAAGGTTTCTGTACCAAATATTAAGTTCTGTTTTTCTGATGTATCAAATACTTATGTCATGCAATAAAATGCAAATTAATTACTTAAAAATCATACAATGTGATTTTCTGGATTTTTGTTTTAGATTCCATCTCTCACAGTTGAAGTGTACATATTATAAATATTACAGACCTCTACATGCTTTGTAAGTAGGAAAACCTGCAAAATTGGCAGTGTATCAAATACTTGTTCTCTCCCACTGTACATGTAGGTAGGGGTAAAGTGACTATGGTAGATAATAAACAGAGAGTAGCAGCGGGTGAAGAGTGGAGGAATGTAAATGTGTGTGTGGCGTCAATATGCATGTTTGTGTGTTGTGTGTGTGTGTGTATGTTGAGCTAATAATATAATATATAATATAATAGATATAAATAAAATAATGGAGGTCAACGCTGTTAGTCTGGGTGGCCATTTGATGAACTGTTCAGCAGTCTGATGGCTTGGGGGTAGAAGCTGTTAAGGAGCCTTTTGGTCCTAGACTTGGCGCTCCGGTACAGCTTGCCGTGCGGTAGCAGACAGACCAGTCTATGACTATGAGTAGAGGACACCGCCTGGTATAGAGGTCCTGGATGGCAGGGAGCTCAGGCCCCAGTGATGTACTGTGCCGCACGCACTACCCTCTGTAGTGCCTTGCGGTCGGAGGCCGAGCGGTTGCCATACCAGGCGGCGATGCAACCAGTCAGGATGCTCTCGATGGTGCAGCTGTATAACTTTTTGAGGATCTGAGGACCCATGCCAAATCTTTTTTGTACGCTGTCGTACACGTTGATCCAGAGCATCCCAAACATGCTCAATGTGTGGCATATCTGGTGAGTATGCAGGCCATGGAAGAACTGGGACATTTTCAGCTTCCAGGAATTGTGTTCAGATCCATGCGACATGGGGCCGTGCATTATCATGCTGAAACATGAGGTGATGGCGGCGGATGAATGGCACGACAATGGGCCTCAGGAACTCGTCATGGTATCTCAGTGCATTCAAATTGCCATCGATAAATGCATTTGTGTTCATTGTCCATAGCTTATGGCTGCCCATACCATAACCCCACCGCCACCATGGGGGACACTGTTCACAATGTTGACAACAGCAAACCGCTCGCCCACACGACGTCATACACGCTGTCTACCATCTGCCCGGTACAGTTGAAACAGGGATTCATCCGTGAAGAACACACTTCTCCAGCCGTGCTGGTGGCCATCGAAGGTGAGCATTGTCCCACTGAAGGCGGTTACGACGCCGAACTGCAGTCAGGTCAAGACCCTGGTGAGGACGACGAGCACGCAGATGAGCTTCCCTGAGACGGTTTCTGACAGTTTGTGCAGAATTTCTTCAGTTGTCCAAACCCACAGTTTCATCAGCTGTCCGGGTGGCTGATCTCAGACGATTCCGGAGGTGAAGAACCTGGATGTTGAGGTCCTGGGCTGGCGTGGTTACACGTGGTCTGCGGTTGTGAGGCCGGTTGGACGTCCTGCCAAATTCTCTAAAACGACGTTGGAGGCGGCTTATGGTAGAGAAATGAACATTCAATTCTCTGGCAAGAGCTCTGGTGGATATTCCTGCAATCAGCAAGCCAATTGCACGCTCCCTCAAAACTTGAGACATCTGTGGCATTGTGTTTTGTGACAAAACTGCACATTTTAGAGTGACCTTTTAATGTCCCCAGCACAAGCTGCACCTGTGTAATGATCATGCTGTTTAATCAGCTTCTTGATATGCCGCACCTGTCAGGTGGATGGATTATCTTGGCAAAGGAGAAATGTGAACAAAATTTGAGAGAAATAAGCTTTTTGTGTGTATGGAAATTGTCTGGGATCTTTTATTTCAGCTCATGAAACATGGGACCAACACTTTACATGTTACGTTTATATTTTTGTTCAGTGTACATTCGAAATGCTTTTCATTCGAGAAACTTTTAGCACTTGTCTGGCTGACGCGCGACCCACGTGACTACACAGCGAGCCGTGACTCACTGGTCTAGTAACTGGTAACTTGGGCTTGTAAAAGGGGAGGTTAGCTCAAATTTTGAGCGACTTTTGGATTGGTTCTCATATGCACATCAATTTGCCAAGCCCTCCTAGAGAGGTAAACAAGCCAAACTAAAGTTAGCTAGCCAGCTAGCCTAAGTAAAACTGTGGGGGGAAAAAAACAGATGGAGCTTTCTGAAAAGGAGATGGAGAGACAGCCACATAGTAATGACCAACTTAGGGATTGAATTAAAATAGGAGCAACTTGAAACATTTTTGAGCCTTTGTGTGAGTGGAGGATGTATTGGCGGTCTTGCCAATTCTGATAGCTTGATCGCCTTTAGCGGGTGGACACGACTAAGTGGCTGGCTTTCTATGGGCTGAACAATGCTAGCTAGCGTTAGCCATGCTCGGTAATGTTAGTTGCTACTTGCTAGCCACAAGATGGTAACGTTGAACAGATTGCAGTTGTCTAATATGTCACTCGTTTTAGTGTAGAAGAGCCCTCCTAGAGAGGTAAACAAGCCAAACTAAAGTTAGCTAGGCTAGCTAGCCTAAGTAAAACTCGTTTTAGCGTAGAAGAGTTGCTGTAACGTTTTGATTTACACGCCCTGTTCATGATGCTAGCAGCAAACAATGTCCAAACTCCGAAGGTTTGTGCTAGCTAGCGAGATACAGTGTGTGTTTGCTTATCTTGGAAGGGCTGGCTGTAAACGGAAGGGCTGGGGCGGTCCTATGTAAAACAACATGATAAGTTATATTCTAAACAGGGATATCCAACCAGCGTAGGGTTGCCGCCTTGAAGTCTGAGGGCACAGCCTTTCATTATCATCAAAGCAGCCGTTCCAAACTCTCAAGTCAGGAAGACTTTGAGAGCTGGTGTCAGCCAGACTATCTTAGCATAGGGTTAAACACATATATCTCTTGGCTAAGGTCAATCCAGTGACAACTTGCCCTGCTGTGGGTTTCCTCCCAATCGTAGTCAGCCATTGGCCAACCCAGCTCCTGACATCAGGACTATAAACCAACCTCAGAAAATCAATTCTAAACTGTAAATGCTAGACTTTTTCTAAAGTTCCTCTTCAACAATAAGACTTTTAGACCTGTGGTGCCAACCGTACCTCTGACGAATCAGCAGCAGAGAATTTGTTGGAACATTGCGAGTGGGGCTTGGGGGATTCCGCCGCTTCCCCATTGGGTAGGATCCCGTCTGCAAACCACACCCTCCTCTGCTCACGCGCGAGGGACCCTGTGACGCACAGACACCACAGGATACTGTTGGTAAATATTTACCACAGAAACAAAGGGGACGAAACCAGAGTAAAAACTAACCCGAAGAGAGGGTGAGAGGAAAAGTAAAAATTAACCCGAAGAGAGGGTGAGAGGAAAAGTAAAAACTAACCCGAAGAGAGGGTGAGAGGAAAAACTAACCCGAAGAGAGGGTGAGAGGAAAAAATAACCCGAAGAGAGGGTGAGAGGAAAAACTAACCCGAAGAGAGGGTGAGAGGAAAAACTAACCCGAAGAGAGGGTGAGAGGAAAAACTAACCCGAAGAGAGGGTGAGAGGAAAAAACTAACCCGAAGAGAGGGTGAGAGGAAAAACTAACCCGAAGAGAGGGTGAGAGGAAAAACTAACCCGAAGAGAGGGTGAGAGGAAAAACTAACCCGAAGAGAGGGTGAGAGGAAAAACTAACCCGAAGAGAGGGTGAGAGGAAAAACTAACCCGAAGAGAGGGTGAGAGGAAAAACTAACCCGAAGAGAGGGTGAGAGGAAAAGTAAAAACTAACCCGAAGAGAGGGTGAGAGGAAAAACTAACCCGAAGAGAGGGTGAGAGGAAAAGTTATAACAGGTGTGTGTATGGGAGATGGTTACCCTCTGAGCCGGGTGTTTTAGGGACCCCCACAGGGACCATGACAGTGGGAAGGGAGGCCAGCGCCCCTGAGGCTTGGACCTGCTGCAGAGGTGGGATGGTACTGCAGTACTCTGCTGGGTTGTTGGGGTTAGGACTCTGGTTAGACCCGCCACACGTACCCTCCCACGAATGAGCTGAGGGCAGAGAGAGACGGAGGAACAACATCGATATAGGCTTGACAGAGGGAGATAAACAGGATTTGATACACACACACACTACCGGTCAAAAGTTTGGACACACCTACTCATTTAAGGGTTTTTCTTTATTTTTACTATTTTCTACATTGTAGAATAATAGTGAAGACATCAAAACTATGAAATAACACATATGGAATCATGTAGTAACTAAAAAAATTAGTTAAACAAATCAAAATATATTTTTGACTTTAGATTCTTCAAAGTAGCCACCCTTCGCCTTGATGACAGCTTTGCACACTCTTGACTCTTGTACACAGTTTTGGTCATGTAGTGTGTACATAGATATATAGGATCAGGTTGATCTAGGATCAGGTTGATCTAAGGAGATATATAGGATCAGGTTGATCTAGGGAGATATATAGGATCAGGTTGATCTAGGGAGATATATAGGATCAGGTTGATCTAGGGAGATATATAGGATCAGGTTGATCTAGGAGATATATAGGATCAGGTTGATCTAGGGAGATATATAGGATCAGGTTGATCTAGGGAGATATATAGGATCAGGTTGATCTAGGGAGATATATAGGATCAGGTTGATCTAGGGAGATATATAGGATCAGGTTGATCTAGGATCAGGTTGATCTAAGGAGATATATAGGATCAGGTTGATCTAGGGAGATATATAGGATCAGGTTGATCTAGGGAGATATATAGGATCAGGTTGATCTAGGGAGATATATAGGATCAGGTTGATCTAGGGAGATATATAGGATCAGGTTGATCTAGGGAGATATATAGGATCAGGTTGATCTAGGGAGATATATAGGATCAGGTTGATCTAGGGAGATATATAGGATCAGGTTGATCTAGGGAGATATAGGATCAGGTTGATCTAGGGAGATATAGGATCAGGTTGATCTAGGGAGATATATAGGATCAGGTTGATCTAGGGAGATATATAGGATCAGGTTGATCTAGGGAGATATATAGGATCAGGTTGATCTAGGGAGATATAGGATCAGGTTGATCTAGGGAAATATAGGATCAGGTTGATCTAGGGAAATATATAGGATCAGGTTGATCTAGGGAAATATATAGGATCAGGTTGATCTAGGGAGATATATAGGATCAGGTTGATCTAGGGAGATATATAGGATCAGGTTGATCTAGGAGATATATAGGATCAGGTTGATCTAGAAGATATATAGGATCAGGTTGATCTAGAAGATATATAGGATCAGGTTGATATAGGATCCGGTTGATCTAGGAGATATATAGGATCAGGTTGATCTAGGGAGATATATAGGATCAGGTTGATCTAGGGAGATATATAGGATCAGGTTGATCTAGGGAGATATATAGGATCAGGTTGATCTAGGGAGATATATAGGATCAGGTTGATCTAGGGAGATATATAGGATCAGGTTGATCTAGGGAGATATATAGGATCAGGTTGATCTAGGGAGATATATAGGATCAGGTTGATTTAGGGAGATATATAGGATCAGGTTGATCTAGGAGATATATAGGATCAGGTTGATATAGGATCAGGTTGATCTAGGGAGATATATAGGATCAGGTTGATCTAGGGAGATATATAGGATCAAGTTGATCTAGGGAGATATATAGGATCAGGTTGATCTAGGGAGATATATAGGATCAGGTTGATCTAGGAGATATATAGGATCAGGTTGATCTAGGGAGATATATAGGATCAGGTTGATCTAGGGAGATATAGGATCAGGTTGATCTAGGATCAGGTTGATCTAGGGAGATATATAGGATCAGGTTGCTCTAGGAGATATAGGATCAGGTTGATCTAGGAGATATAGGATCAGGTTGATCTAGGATCAGGTTGATCTAGGGAGATATAGGATCAGGTTGATCTAGGATCAGGTTGATCTAGGGAGATATAGGATCAGGTTGATCTAGGTTCAAATTAGGAACGATAAAAGATACTTGATAAAGATCAATATAGTGCGAAGACCGATATAGGATCAAATTAAATACCATAATTATAGACCTACAAGATTAGGATCTGGGTATGCCGTCAGCAGAGGAATGCTATGCCCTAGAACTAGGGCCAGAAGTTTTACCTGGAAACGTAACAAGACCAAACCCCAACCAAAGGCAAATGAGGTCGATTCTAGATGCTGATCTAGGATGAGTATTGTGTTTACATCCTAATGGTTAAAGTTAGAAATGGGATGGAGTAAACTGATCCGAGATCTGTGTAGCAGATTTGGATGGAGTGAGCTTGTCTGTAGCAGTGACTAATGGTTGAGGTTATGATCAATGTTCCCTGAGCGCAAACGTGAAGGTTGGGAAAATTCTGTCGCACGTTTACTGTGAACACTGAGGCTGTTTCCTGTGAACACTGAGGCTGTTTCCTGTGAACACTGAGGCTGTTTCCTGTGAACACTGAGGCTGTTTCCTGTGAACACTGAGGCTGTTTCCTGTGAACACTGAGGCTGTTTCCTGTGAACACTGAGGCTGTTTACTGTGAACACTGAGGCTGTTTACTGTGAACACGGAGGCTGTTTACTGTGAACACGGAGGCTGTTTACTGTGAACACTGAGGCTGTTTACTGTGAACACTGAGGCTGTTTCCTGTGAACACTGAGGCTGTTTCCTGTGAACACGGAGGCTGTTTACTGTGAACACTGAGGCTGTTTCCTGTGAACACTGAGGCTGTTTCCTGTGAACACGGAGGCTGTTTACTGTGAACACGGAGGCTGTTTACTGTGAACACGGAGGCTGTTTACTGTGAACACGGAGGCTGTTTCCTGTGAACACGGAGGCTGTTTACTGTGAACACGGAGGCTGTTTACTGTGAACACGGAGGCTGTTTACTGTGAACACGGAGGCTGTTTCCTGTGAACACTGAGGCTGTTTCCTGTGAACACTGAGGCTGTTTCCTGTGAACACTGAGGCTGTTTCCTGTGAACACTGAGGCTGTTTCCTGTGAACACTGAGGCTGTTTCCTGTGAACACTGAGGCTGTTTCCTGTGAACACTGAGGCTGTTTCCTGTGAACACTGAGGCTGTTTACTGTGAACACTGAGGCTGTTTCCTGTGAACACGGAGGCTGGACCCGCTTTAAGTTACAGTGGCCAAGTAGGCTACTGTGGCTATTTGATCATACATGTAAGCCTACTAGAGTGGCCTACCATTAAAAACAATGGAGTAAATGCATCCCATAACATTTTAACACGGAAATAGCTGTTCTGTCATTAAGCCTACAGTAGCAGCCAATGTGTTGTGTTCAACGTAGGTCTACATTCCATGAGATTCTATGAACACATGCAGGGCTTGACATGAACCTGTTCAGACAAGTAGGTGACTGAACACGTTGTTGTATTGTGTTGTTTGACGCAAGCAACCACTTTACAAAAAAAATGTTTTGCTAGCCTCCGCCTTCTGGCTTCTTAGCTTAGTCAAGCCTGTCTCTAAATACAACACTGCCCCTTTAAGACAAGAAAAAAAAAGCTCTTTACAAAGAAAGCTAGAAATGTCCACGTTTTGTGCTCTTGCAGGAAGCAACCACTCCCCCATTGCTGACCAAAAACGAGATATAACTAACAAGGCCAACTAGTAAAAGTTGAGTGAAGTTAAATCTCGTGCGTCTCTGCGCGGGCTGGTCTTTCTTCTACGAGGCAGTCCTGGGGGGGTGCGTAGCTTAGAGGGAACTGGAGTAAGCTGATCCTAGATCTGCGGTTAAGTCAGTATCTAATGGTTAAAGTTATGAACGGGATGGAGTAAGCCGATCCTAGATCTGTGGTTAAGTCAGTATCTAATGGTTAAAGTTATGAACGGGATGGAGTAAGCCGATCCTAGATCTGTGGTTAAGTCAGTATCTAATGGTTAAAGTTATGAACGGGATGGAGTAAGCCGATCCTAGATCTGTGGTTAAGTCAGTATCTAATGGTTAAAGTTATGAACGGGATGGAGTAAGCCGATCCTAGATCTGTGGTTAAGTCAGTATCTAATGGTTAAAGTTATGAACGGGATGGAGTAAGCCGATCCTAGATCTGTGGTTAAGTCAGTATCTAATGGTTAAAGTTATGAACGGGATGGAGTAAGCCGATCCTAGATCTGTGGTTAAGTCAGTATCTAATGGTTAAAGTTATGAACGGGATGGAGTAAGCCGATCCTAGATCTGTGGTTAAGTCAGTATCTAATGGTTAAAGTTATGAACGGGATGGAGTAAGCCGATCCTAGATCTGTGGTTAAGTCAGTATCTAATGGTTAAAGTTATGAACGGGATGGAGTAAGCCGATCCTAGATCTGTGGTTAAGTCAGTATCTAATGGTTAAAGTTATGAACGGGATGGAGTAAGCCGATCCTAGATCTGTGGTTAAGTCAGTATCTAATGGTTAAAGTTATGAATGGGATGGAGTAAGCCGATCCTAGATCTGTGGTTAAGTCAGTATCTAATGGTTAAAGTTATGAACGGGATGGAGTAAGCCGATCCTAGATCTGTGGTTAAGTCAGTATCTAATGGTTAAAGTTATGAATGGGATGGAGTAAGCCGATCCTAGATCTGTGGTTAAGTCAGTATCTAATGGTTAAAGTTATGAATGGGATGGAGTAAGCCGATCCTAGATCTGTGGTTAAGTCAGTATCTAATCGTTAAAGTTATGAATGGGATGGAGTAAGCCGATCCTAGATCTGTGGTTAAAGTTATGAACGGGATGGAGTAAGCCGATCCTAGATCTGCGGTTAAGTCAGTATCTAATGGTTAAAGTTATGAACGGGATGGAGTAAGCCGATCCTAGATCTGTGGTTAAGTCAGTATCTAATGGTTAAAGTTATGAACGGGATGGAGTAAGCCGATCCTAGATCTGTGGTTAAGTCAGTATCTAATGGTTAAAGTTATGAACGGGATGGAGTAAGCCGATCCTAGATCTGTGGTTAAGTCAGTATCTAATGGTTAAAGTTATGAACGGGATGGAGTAAGCCGATCCTAGATCTGTGGTTAAGTCAGTATCTAATGGTTAAAGTTATGAATGGGATGGAGTAAGCCGATCCTAGATCTGTGGTTAAGTCAGTATCTAATGGTTAAAGTTATGAATGGGATGGAGTAAGCCGATCCTAGATCTGTGGTTAAGTCAGTATCTAATGGTTAAAGTTATGAATGGGATGGAGTAAGCCGATCCTAGATCTGTGGTTAAGTCAGTATCTAATGGTTAAAGTTATGAACGGGATGGAGTAAGCCGATCCTAGATCTGTGGTTAAGTCAGTATCTAATGGTTAAAGTTATGAATGGGATGGAGTAAGCCGATCCTAGATCTGTGGTTAAGTCAGTATCTAATGGTTAAAGTTATGAACGGGATGGAGTAAGCCGATCCTAGATCTGTGGTTAAGTCAGTATCTAATGGTTAAAGTTATGAACGGGATGGAGTAAGCTGATCCTAGATCAGTGTGGTAATAGTGACTCACCACTCAGTAGGGCAGAGTGACAGGTGATGCAGACTCTGGCCTCCTTCCTGTCCATGTAGATCAGTCTGCTCCTCAGGCTGCAGCAGGCAGCACAGAACACCTGGGGACACACACCCACCACTACATTACCTCTGGAGACACACACCCACCACTACATTACCTCTGGAGACACACACCCACCACTACATTACCTCTGGCCATAGACACACCCACCACTACATTACCTCTGGCCATAGACACACCCACCACTACATTACCTCTGGAGACACACACCCACCACTACATTACCTCTGGAGACACACACCCACCACTACATTACCTCTGGAGACACACACCCACCACTACATTACCTCTGGCCATAGACACACCCACCACTACATTACCTCTGGCCATAGACACACCCACCACTACATTACCTCTGGCCATAGACACACCCACCACTACATTACCTCTGGCCATAGACACACCCACCACTACATTACCTCTGGTCATAGACACACCCACCACTACATTACCTCTGGCCATAGACACACCCCACCACTACATTACCTCTGGCCATAGACACACCCACCACTACATTACCTCTGGCCATAGACACACCCACCACTACATTACCTCTGGTCATAGACACACCCACCACTACATTACCTCTGGCCATAGACACACCCCACCACTACATTACCTCTGGCCATAGACACACCCACCACTACATTACCTCTGGCCATAGACACACCCACCACTCCATTACATCTGGCCATAGACACACCCACCACTACATTACCTCTAGCCATAGACACACCCACCACTACATTACCTCTGGCCATAGACACACCCACCACTACATTACCTCTGGCCATAGACACACCCACCACTACATTACCTCTGGCCATAGACACACCCACCACTACATTACATCTGGCCATAGACACACCCACCACTACATTACCTCTGGCCATAGACACACCCACCACTACATTACCTCTGGCCATAGACACACCCACCACTACATTACCTCTGGCCATAGACACACCCACCACTACAGAACACCTGGAGATAAACACCCACCACTACATTACCTCTGGCCATAGACACACCCACCACTACATTACCTCTAGCCATAGACACACCCACCACTACATTACATCTGGCCATAGACACACCCACCACTACATTACCTCTGGCCATAGACACACCCACCACTACATTACCTCTGGCCATAGCCACACCCACCACTACATTACATCTGGCCATAGACACACCCACCACTACATTACCTCTGGCCATAGACACACCCACCACTACATTACATCTGGCCATAGACACACCCACCACTACATCTGGCCATAGACACACCCACCACTACATTACATCTGGCCATAGACACACCCACCACTACATTACATCTGGCCATAGACACACCCACCATTATATTACATCTGGCCATAGACACACCCACCACTACATTACATCTGGCCATAGACACACCCACCACTCCATTACATCTGGCCATAGACACACCCACCACTACATTACATCTGGCCATAGACACACCCACCACTACATTACATCTGGCAATAGACACACCCACCATTCCATTACATCTGGCCATAGACACACCCACCACTACATTACATCTGGCCATAGCCACACCCACCACTACATCTGGCCATAGCCACACCCACCACTACATCTGGCCATAGACACACCCACCACTACATCTGGCCATAGACACACCCACCATTCCATCTGGCCATAGCCACACCCACCACTACATTACATCTGGCCATAGACACACCCACCACCCCATTACATCTGGCCATAGACACACCCACCACTACATTACATCTGGCCATAGCCACACCCACCACTACATCTGGCCATAGCCACACCCACCACTACATCTGGCCATAGACACACCCACCACTACATCTGGCCATAGACACACCCACCATTCCATCTGGCCATAGCCACACCCACCACTCCATTCCATCTGGCCATAGACACACCCACCACCCCATTACATCTGGCCATAGCCACTACAGTGTGTGTGCCACCTTGGGAAATGAAGCAGGTGTTTGGTTAGTCCACAGCAGTGTAGGCGTGTCCCAGTGCAGTCCGTTAGCCCAACACAACCCAACACCGTGTCAGTATCTTTACTGCATTTCCTAATCTAGCCAAGTATCATACATTTGAATCAAATCTACATTTATGAAAAGGATAGTTTTGGTTCGAAGATGTTTTAAATTGTTGACACTGCTACTAGAATGGCTACTGATGTTACTACTTTGTTTTATTAGAACAACAAAAATCAAGATCTGAGTGAGTGAAAACCTCCAGAATGATATCTCTGAAGAGCCCTGCTGTATAGACTACACCCACCTTTCCACAGGCCCTGCAGTGATGCCTCCTCTTGGTGAAGGTGAAGCGGGCCTCACACTTCATACAGACTGGTGCCTGGGAGTCAGGGACCCACACAGGGGCCACATCCCCCAGGGAGGAGAGCTGTTTCCTGGGCAGAGCCCCCTGGTGGTGCTGCCCTGCCTGGAAGTCGTTATCCGGGCTGCTCTCTGACGCCACCACCAGGCCCAACGACGATGTCTGACACTCCCCGCTTAGCAACTCCCCCTTCACAACACCACCACCACCACCACCACCAGGGTCGCCCAAGGCAACTACAGTTGCCGTATCCGTGACTTCGGCGCTGCCACGGTTTTCAAGGTTCTTGTTCTTGCCGCCACTGGTAATGCTGCCGGCGGTGTTGGCAGAAGGTTCTAGCTGGTTCTGGACCTGTTCGTATAGGGGCCGGGGGATCTGGAGTTTGAGACTGACCGGCTGTTTAGGACGTGCCCCGCCGAACGGCAAGCTCACCGGCTGCAAACGACTGTTGTTGAGTTTGGAGGGGAAAGAGCTACCACCTCCTCCTCCTTCCTTCTCTTGCTTGCTCTCCTCCATCTCCTTCTCCTCTGTTACGGAGTCCTCCTTGGAGGGGGGAGGGGTGAGAGACCAGCCCTCCCCCTCCGCTCTGCTCCCCCTCTCCTCTCCCCCTCCTGTAGTAGCCAGGCCGTTGGTGAGAGACATCTCTCCATCCTGACCTCCCCTCTTCGCCATCTCTCCTTTCTTCTCCTTCTGAGAAGACTTCCTACACTCCTTTTTCCTCCCTCTCAGTCCCTCCATCCTCCCTTCATTCTGTCCTCTCTCCCCAGAGGCTTCCCCCTGTTCTCCCCCTCTCCAGCCTCCCGTCCTCTGTCCTCTCTCCCCAGAGGCTTCCCCCTGTTCTCCTCCTCTCCAGCCTCCCGTCCTCTGTCCTCTCTCCCCAGTGTCCTGTGACTGTCCCCCAGACATTTCAGCCTCCTCTCTGCCACTCTCCTGTATGGGTGACCCAGCCCAAGTGCTCTCTGGCTCCAGCCGGGGGTTTGACTCCTCTACTGCTACCCGTCTGTCGCCTCCCAGCTTCTCCTCATGGGTAAAGTGTGTTTGACTAATGTGGGAGCTTCCACCACTCCTCTCCCCGCCCCTACCCTCCACAGGGGCATCGGGACGTGGGTCAGAGGGGGCGGGGGGCTGGTGGTGGTTTGAAGGGTTAACAGGGGTCACCCTTGTATGGTTACCCTCGCAGGGTTCTTCACTGAGCCCGTTGAGGGCAGGGCTGGCTGGACTAGAGGGGCTGGTAGAGGAGCAGCCGTTCTCCAGGGCTAGGAGGTGGTAAGGAGGGGGGCTAGAGGAAGCCGGCACAGGGGGAGACAAGCCCTCCTCACCCCCCACCAGCTTACCGATGTTGGGTTGGGGGAGCGGCGGGCTGTGGACGTCCGCAGGGCGGTCCGGCCTCTCCTCTCCCCAGGACGGAGGCTTGGCAGCTGGGTGGCGTTTGGTGTCAGGCCCCTGGGATTCGCTAGAGGACGGGTCGGGGGCCGGGAGGGTCTTGAAGGGGAGGGGACTGTCCCCGTCCCTTGGGTCAGGGGTCAAAGCCAGGGCAGGGTTCAGAGATAGGAAGTGGGCCGGAGGGGCCAGGATCTGACTCCACTTAGCGTCAGACAGAGTGGGACCATCCGTCTCATCATCTAGAGGGGGGCAGAGGGAGAGAGAGATTATGGGCACGTTCCTCTGCGCAGGCGTTGCGACGCCTGGATAGGTATTTTAATGTATCAGCTAACCACATATGTTATAGCAGTCTGGTGCCCAACGGCACAGTCAATGACGTGGCATGCAACCATTGGTTGATGCATGCCACACCTGAGCCGGGGAACACGACCTATAAAACATTAGTTTGAGAAAGAGACGGCACAATGAGACACTGAACGGGAAACCGAAGGGAGTCCATGCAATATTAAAACTAAACAGGAAAGAGGGAGTGTAAACAGGAAAATGCAACACTAAAAACAGGACAACTGGAATGCGACACTAAAAACAGGACAACTGGAATGTGACACTAAAAACAGGACAACTGGAATGTGACACTAAAAACAGGACAACTGGAATGTGACACTAAAAACAGGACAACTGGAAAGTGACACTAAAAACAGGACAACTGGAAAGTGACACTAAAAACAGGACAACTGGAAAGTGACACTAAAAACAGGACAACTGGAATGTGACACTAAAAACAGGACAACTGGAATGTGACACTAAAAAACAGGACAACTGGAATGTGACACTAAAAACAGGACAACTGGAATGTGACACTAAAAACAGGACAACTGGAAAGTGACACTAAAAACAGGACAACTGGAAAGTGACACTAAAAACAGGACAACTGGAATGTGACACTAAAAACAGGACAACTGGAATGTGACACTAAAAACAGGACAACTGGAATGTGACACTAAAAACAGGACAACTGGAATGTAACACTAAAACAGGACAACTGGAAAGTGACACTAAAACAGGACAACTGGAAAGTGACACTAAAAACAGGACAACTGGAAAGTGACACTAAAAACAGGACAACTGGAAAGTGACACTAAAAACAGGACAACTGGAATGTGCCACTAAAACAGGACAACTGGAATGTGCCACTAAAAACAGGACAACTGGAATGTGCCACTAAAAACAGGACAACTGGAATGTGACACTAAAAACAGGACAACTGGAATGTGACACTAAAACAGGACAACTGGAATGTAACACTAAAACAGGACAACTGGAATGTGACACTAAAACAGGACAACTGGAATGTAACACTAAAAACAGGACAACTGGAATGTAACACTAAAAACAGGACAACTGGAATGTAACACTAAAAACAGGACAACTGGAATGTAACACTAAAACAGGACAACTGGAATGTAACACTAAAAACAGGACAACTGGAATGTAATATTAACTCTTTGGTACTGAAAGGGTTCAAAATGGGAGGAGTGGAAATGGAGAAACGAGGCTGGAATGGGTGGATTGGGAAATGAATGCTGGGATGTATTGGAAGGGATACTCCTTTCCTACCCGTCGCCATGGAAGTACCAGTCGCCGTGGCCAATCATGTCTATCTGCAGGCTGCGGTGAATACATGCTGCGCCCACTACGCGCCACTTTCTACATGTCACAGCAGCTGTCATTGAGGCTGCTAGATCCATCTCTGGCACACACACTCCAGCACAGTAGGTGGCGGTGATGCACCAACGTTGGATGCCAACCGTTGAAAAACCCCACCAAAGGAGGAGGCTGCTAGCTAGGGGACACCGGTACAGTGTCCTTCGCCCCCAAATGCCGAGCACTGCTTTCCCACAGTTCTGTTAAAGTTACAGTGAGGGAAGTAGCTAGCTAGCTAGCGTATCCAACGCTCACACTGGCACTAACGGGTAGTGATTACCCCCGCCATAGCAACTGTATTTAAAATAAAAAACTGAAATAATACATTTACATAAGAATTCAGACCCTTTCCTCAGTACTTTGTTGAAGCACCTTTGGCAGCGAGTACAGCCTTGAGTCTTCTTGGGTATGACGCTACAAGCTTGGCACACCTGTATTTGGGGAGATTCTCCCATTCTTCTCTGCAGATCCTCTCAAGCTCTGTCATCTTGGATGGGGAGCATCGCTGCACAGCTATTTGCGCAGCTATTTTCAGGTCTCACCAGAGATGTTTGATCGGGTTCAAGTCCAGGCTCTGGCTGGGCCACTCAAGGACATTCAGAGACTTGTCCCGAAGCCACTCCTGCGTAGTCTTGGCTGTGTGCTTAGGGTTGTTGTCCTGTTGGAAGGTGAACCTTCGTCCCAGTCTGAGGTCCTGAGCGCTCTGGAGCAGGTTTTCATCAAGGATCTCTCTGTACTTTGCTCTGTTCATCTTCTCTCAATCCTGACTAGTCTCCCAGTTCCTGCCACTGAAAAACATCCCCACAGCATGATGCTGCCCCCACCATGCTTCACTGTAGGGATGGTGCCAGGTTTCCTCCAGAAGTGACGCTTGGCATTCAGGCCAAATAGTTCAATCTTGGCTTCATCAGACCAGAGAATCTGGTTTCTCATGGTCTGAGAGTCTTTAGGTGCCTTTTGGCAAACTCCAAGCGGGCTGTCATGTGCCTTTTACTGAGGAGTGGCTTCCATCTGGCCACTCTACCATAAAGGCCTGATTGGTGGAGTGCTGCAGAGATGGTTGTCCTTCTAGAAGGTTCTCCCATCTCCAGAGGAAGTCTGGAGCTCTGTCAGAGTGACCATCGGGTTCTTGGTCACCTCCCTGACCAAGGCCCTTCTCCCCCGATTGCTCAGTTTGGCCGGACGGCCAGATCTAGGAAGAGTCTTGGTGGTTCCAAACTTCTTCCATTTAAGAATGATTGAGGCCCCTGTGTTCAATGGTGCAGAAATGTTGGTACTCTTCCCCAGATCTGTGCCTCGAGACAATCCTGTCTCAGAGCTCTACGGAAAATTCCTTCAACCTCATGGCTTGGTTTTTGCTCGGACATGCACTGTCAACTGTGGGACCTTATATAGACAGGTGTGTGCCTTTCCAAATCATGTCCAATCAATTGAATTTACCACAGGTGGACTCCAATCAAGTTGTAGAAACATCAAGGATGATCAATGGAAACAGGATGCACCTGAGCTCAATTTCGAGTCTCATAGCAAAGTGTCTGAATACTTATGTAAATAAGGTATCGGTTTTTCATTTTTAATAGATTTGCAAAAATGTCTAACAACCTGTTTTTGCTTTGTCATTATGGGGTATTGTGTGTAGATTAATGAGGGGAAAAAAACAATTTTATCAATTTTAGAATAAGGCTGTAATGTAACAAAAATGTGGAAAAAGTGAAGGGGTCTGAATACTTTCCGAATGCACTGAATGAACAAAAATATAAAAGGCAACATGTAAAGTGTTGGTCCCATGTTTCATGAGGTGAAATAAAAAAATCCCAGAAATGATCCATACACACAGAAAGCTTATTTCTCTCAAATGTTGTGCAGAATTTTTTTTACATCACTGTTAGTGAGAATGTTTCCCTTTTCCAAGATATCCATCCACCTGAGGCATATCAAGAAGCTGATTAAACAGCATTATCATTACACAGATTCACCTTGTGCTGGGACAATAAAAGGCCACACTAAAATGTGCAGTTCTGTCACCCAACACAATGCCACAGATGTCTCAAGTTGAGTGAATGTGCAATTGGCATGCTGACTACAGGAATGTCCACCAGAGCTGTTTCCAGATAATTTAATGTTAATTTCTCTACAAAAAGCCACCTCCGTCATGTTAGAGAATTTGGCAGTACTTCCAACCGGCCTCAAATCGCAGA